TCTTAGATGAAGGTTTGCAGAACCAGTAGTTTCTCATTAAACAGTTAGTGCGCATATTGCCATATGACGATGGTTAACAACCCCACGACATGTCAACACTGTCCCTTCTCAACCTTGGGTTCCCTATCACCAGCTTTCCTGTCCCCTTCTGCCTTCTAGTCCTTGCCCCTGGACTGCTGTGCCTCATTAGTCCTATTTTGTTTTATGGGGCTGTCTAATCTTTGGCTGAATGGTGAACCTTGGGAGTAGCTTTACCACTGAGCTCAAAGGGTATCTGGGGCCATACTCTTGGGGTTTCTCCAGTCTCTGTCAGGCCAGTAAATACGGTCTTTTTTTGTGTATGTTAGACTTTTATTCTACATCCTTCTCCAGTTCTGTCCAGGACCCTCTATTGTGATCCCGGTCAGAGCAGTCAGTGGTGGTAGCTGGGTACCATCTAGCTGTACTGGACTCAATCTGGTGGAGGCTGTGGTAGCTGTGGTCCATTAGTCCTTTGGACTAATCTTTTCCTTGTATCTTGTTCTCTTCATTCCCCCTTGCTCCCGAAGGGGTGAGACCAGTGGAGTATCTTAGATGGCTGCTCACAGGCTTTTAAGACCCCAGACGCTCCTCACCAAGGTAGAATGTAGAACATTGTCTTTATAAACTGTGTTATGGCAATTGAGCTAGATGTTCCCTGAGACCATGGTCCCCACAGTCCTCCGCCCAGCAATTCAGTCCCTCAGGGAGTTTGTAAGTGTCTATGAAGCGTCCATGACCTTCCCTTGTACAAGTTGTGCTGGCTTCCCCAGTATTGTGTACTGTCTTACCCTTCACCAAAGTTACCGCTTGTCTATTGTCTGTTTAGTCTCCCCCCCGACCCCTCCCATCCCTCATAACCAACAAAGATTGTTTCTTTTTGTGTGTAAACTTTTACATGAGTTTTTTACAGTAGAGGTCTCATACAATATTTGTCCTTTTGTAATTGATTTATTTCACTCAGCATAATGTCCTCCAGTTTCATCCATGTTATGAGATGCTTCACAGATTCATCATTGTTTTTTCTCTTTGCATAGTACTCCATTGTGTGTATGTACCATAGTTTGTTTATCCATTTATCTATTGATGGGCATCTAGGTTGTTTCCATCTTTTTGCTATTGTGAACAGTGCTGCAGTGAATATGGGTGCGCGTATGTCTATTCGTGTGACGGTTTTTATTTCTCTAGGATATATTCCTAGGAGTGGGATTGCATTTTGTAGGGCTTTTTTTTTTTTGTGGTGCTGATGTTTTCTTTGTTCCTCTTACTCTCCTGTGCCGAGTTCCTTTTGTTTGTGGATTTTTTTTTTTCATTTCTTTTGTTGTTGTAGGTTTTGTTTTTACTGAGACTTTATGTTCTTCTTCATTTTAATGAGTAGGTTTGCTAGCTTTCTTTGAGTTGCCTTGAAGTTTACCCTTATATGCCTGGATTTGAACCAGTCTATTATTACTTGGTATTGCCTTGTCTTCCTCTCCATTGGAAGTTTCTATACATACACCATTTATTCCCTATTTTATTGTTCTGATGCTGTTGTCATTTACAGATTAACCTCACTGTTTCCCTGTTGTAATTCTTTTGGTTTTGGGTAGGCCTTAAGAGTTCATTTCCTAGGTTGGTATCTGGCTAGTACAATCCTGTATCCTGTATTCAGCCTGTGGTCTAATGCTGTTTGTTCTCAGATCGACGGACTCTCTTTAATACGTCTTGTAAGTTTGGTTTGGTTTTTACATAGTCCCTTAAATTTCTGTTTATCTGGAAATGTCCTAATTTCACCATCATATCTGAACGAGAGTTTTGCAGGATTTATTATTCTTGGCTGGCAATTTTTTTCTTTCAAGGTTTTATATATGTCATCCCATTGCCTTCTTGCCTGCATGGTTTCTGTTGTATAATCTGAGCTTAGTCTTATTGTTTCTCGTCTGCATGTGAGTTTTTGTTTTTCTCGAGCTGCTCTCAGGATTCTTTGTTTGTCTTTGGTTTTAGTGAGTGTGATTATGATATGCCTTGTTGATTTTCTTTTGGGGTCTATCCTGTATGGGGTTTGTTGAACTTCTTGGATGGCCAGCTTTTCATCTTTCATGATATTAGGGAAGTTTTCTGTCGCAATTCTTCAGTGATCCTCTCTGTGTTTTCTTTTTTCTCCCCCCTGTTCTGGAACTCTGATCACTTGCAGATTTTTGCTTTTGATTGTATCCTGCATAATTCTCAGGGTTTCTTCATTTTTCTTCATTCTTTTTTCTGATTTTTCCTCAGAGTTGGATCCAAGTGTTTGTCTTCAATTTTGCTGATCCTACCTTCAATCGTTTCAAATCTGCTCCTCAGCCCTTCTATGACACTGTCCATTTCTGAACTCTGGTTGTCTGTCTTTTGGATTTCTAATTGTTGTTTTTGTATGATTTCTAATTGTGAATTTTTTTTAGCATTTTGTTCCTGTATTATTTTCTTGAATTCTTCCAGTTTTTTGTCTGCCTTTTCCATGAATTTGTCTATTTTTTTGTCTGCTTTTTGCTTCAACTCTTAGATAATAGTGAATATTAGCGATTTGAATTCCCTATCAGTTAGGTCTGGTGCCTTTTTTTCTACTGGAAAGTCATCTGGTATTTCATTTTGGATGCCTACTGGAATCATCCTGTCCTGTTTTTTTAAATGTTTGATATTGTCTGCTGTCTTTGGGGCATTCAGTGGTTATTTTCCTCGTTTATTGATTGTTGATTTGTTTGTTTAGTCCTGCTTTTTTTATTTGGTTATGTCTGACCAGGTGGGCTGTGCGTTCTTTGTTGTTTGCTCGTCCGTGGGCACGATACTTTTCACCTCCTTCTCCAATGAGCAGGGTCAGTCACTCAGGTGTGGTACAGCAGGCCAGGTCCAGCTGAAGGGGAGTTGCTGGGATGGGTTGTTAGTGGCACGTACCAGGGCTGACAGTGCAGACCGGGGATCAGTGCAGGGCAGGTTCCATTAGGCCGTGCCTGTGCTGCTTGGGAGTGTGATGTTCAGCACACGGTACAGGTAGGCATGAAGGAAGGGGTAGATTGTGATGTGTGGAGCTAAGATGGGTATGGAAAAGAGGAGAGAGAGAAGAGGAACAGGAGCCAAAAACAAACAAACAAGCAAAAGAGTGCTAAGGGAGCTTGCTATTGGAGTGGAGAGACGAGAAACTCAGATATGGGGAAAAACAAAAATGAAAAAAAAGAAAACAGTAGAAGAAAAAAATGAATAAAACGAGAAACTGGAAATGAAGAAAGACAAAAAGGGAATAAGAGAGAGAAGAAAACAAAACAAAGAAACAAGCAAAAGAAAAAAGAAATATCCCCAGGGATGTCCCTCTACGTCTGCGCAGAGTAAGGGAGTAGCTTCCAAACCGTGCAGTACTGCCCAGCTAGAAGGGGCTCCCAAGCCGAGAAAAGAAAAAGAAAACAAATGGAGAAATCAAAACAAATCAGAGCAAACAAACAGAAAAGCCCCAGGGTTCCCACCAACGTGGTAGCATGAGCTGGGAAGCAGTTTCACAGTCGAGTCATGTTTCGCAGCTTTTCAGGAAGAAGCAAAGATGGTGCACGGAACCAGGTATTTGAGAGAAAGGAGGGTGAGGTGGTGAGAAGTAAGGAAGAAATCTAAAGAAGCAGAAAAAGCAACACCAGCAGCCAACAAAAGGCGCTCAGGGAGCTGGCCAGTGCGGGCGAATGGAATCCAAGTGACACTGGGTGAAGCTGGTGCTTCCTGGCCAAGAGACTGTGGCCGCTGGAAGCAGAGGAGGCCGAGTGGGATTGAAGAAGGGTAGGGGGTGGGGAAGCCTATATTGCTGGTTACCGGTTGTTCTGTCTCCTGCTGGAAGCTCCGTGAAGCTGCTTTCTTGTATCCCCTGTTCTCTGATCTCTGATAGAAGTCCAAGATGGTGGATCTGTGCTGTGGTAGCTGATAGGGGACCTCTGCATGTATCTCTCCTCACTCTCTGTTCTTGGTCAGTTTCTTATTCTGTTCCATGCTTGGCTGAGTTCTTTCTCTCTTCATTTGATGCTTAGGGTTTCAGGATTGACATGTGACTCTGTTTGACTTACTTTTTCTGATCTTTGCTGCGGAGGAATGGCGTGGTGCTTCTGCTATAGCGCCATGTTGCCTGGAGGTTTTCCAGAAGCTGTTCTTAAGCAGATGGGTTAACTCCTGGGTAAGGAT